TTTCCCTTCCATAATTTATTTGATTTATTTGCACGCACAGCACGCGAATTCTGACAGCCCGTTGGCGGGGTTTGGCTACGATTTCTACTCCTTGAACGCCTTGCGAGTCTATCCTGTCCGCAGCCTGCAGAGCTCTAAAAGTATTTTGATGCTTGACAATATTTTCAAATTAAAAAAGCACGTTTTTTCTGCTGTTACTCAAGACACGTCGTAAGCTTAATTTTTGTCGTAGGCTTCACGTGTAAGTGCTCTGTAGTGTTCCATATATGCGCTGGAGCGTACCAAATACGCGCTTAAATACTTAAAATGCTTGTGTTGCTTAAGTATTTTATTTAAAAATACAATTTTTGGCCAATTAAAAATATAATTTTGGCGAATAGAGAATCAATGATCAGAGACTCTGTTCGCAGCAACAAAAATGTAGCCAGACCTTAGCCATATTAGATTTGATTGATAGCTGGAGCCATTTTCATTTTTATTTACTAATACTTTGGTAGGCAGATAAAAAAAAAATGTTGAACTATTTACTTAAGCCATGCAAATCCCTGGTTTTATTTTTTCAATAAGGTCACATATTTTATGAGTTATGGTTCGGGCTTAAACGTATTAGCAAGGATTCTTATGTTTCATAATTTCGATTTCCACCGATTTTTCGCATAAATGGCAATAGCGGATCATATGTTAGGTGAAAACAAGTTTGCTATTTATCTTGAAGTTTGTCACACCAAGAATGTCTCAGCTTAAAACGTAAATTTTAGATGGGAAGGAACTTTAAAGATGAGTACGTATGCTCGAAAAAATTCAAATTTTTAAATTCATTTCAGCACCCTAACTGAGCCGCAAGCTTGGCTAAAAACAATTGAACTAAGCCATTTAGTATATTATTTAAAAGAAATAATAGTTCTTATGCACATTTAGCAAGTGTAGCTTAAATTTAATGGCTAGCCATTGGCTTAGTTTCAAAAATTGAAACTAAGGCAAGCCAGGCAGGCAGTTAGGCGGCAGGCAGCTAAATTTGTGAAGTGCATTTCATTCGACTACAAATTGAAACTTCCACTCCCACTTGGCTGATGTGTTGGGCTGTGCCATTGGATTGCAAAATGATTGGGACTTGGGATCTGCCTGCCATTCGCTTCGGGCTCAAATCTCTAGTTAGTGGCTCTGTCATGCGTCTGAGAGGGGAGTGACGGTGATAGCGGGGCCCCGGCTGCCTATTGATATTTGAGTTGAGGCCTTCGTTCGTTTGTTGCTTTTGATATCAATGAAAATTTCGGCAATGAGGGCTGCACGAAAATTTCATTGGCGTTTTCATTACATTTTCATTGCATTTCCGCAAATTTGCACATTCAAAGAGACGGGCAGAAATGGATTTCACCCCGGGAAATCTCCAAAATGCACAGGCAATAAGCTGCACTCCATTACGCGGTTTTTAATATAAAAAGCACGAAAGAGCAAATCAGAGATAGACGGGGAAAGAGACAGGGATAGTGAAAGAGAGCGAGTGAGAAGAACGGTCTTGGGGATTTGCAGCATTTCCTTAAGGAAAAAGGCAATTTACTATTTTGAAAAGGCAGCAGCAATGCAGCAGTTGCAGTTGCTGTTGTTGCAGTTGTTGCTGTTGTTATTTTGTGCGTTGTCGATAATAGCAATTGAGTGTTGCATTCGCTTTGATTTGCATTTGGGTTGCTCGAATTTCGCATTTGCCATTTTATTTGTGTGTTGGTGTGTGTGTGTGTTTGTGTATGTATTTTTTTTATTGTGTTGCTCCTGTTGCAAAGCTTTTGTTTGCTTTGCTTGGCTTGCCTTGGCTCGGCTCGGCTTGGCTTGGCTTGTGGCTGTTAGCGGCTTATGCGGCTTGGCCTCGCCTTGCAACGCATTGCCTCGCATCGCCTAGCTCTATGGCAGTGTTTGAGAAATGTTATAGCGACTTGGGGATTTGTGGTTTGTGCTGCTGGCAGGGAGTGCTGCCTGTGTAGCTTTTGTCAATTTACTCCTCTGCGATTCGGCATTTGCCAAAGCCACATTAGGCATACGCACTATTGCCGCGCCACAAAATGAAGGAATTTGAACTGTAACAATTTGCTTTTTTGGCTGATAGCTTTTTGCCCCACAACTCTATACTGTTTGAGAAGTCAGCAGCTGATTTGCTTTTAAATTATTTGACAATGACAGATATTGTATTGTTTGCTATTGCTATTGCAAATTCAAGTGCAGTTGGGACATAGTCTTGCAACATCTTCAACTGGTAATTAATTGACTTAAGGCATAAATTGAATAAATGTACATTAACTTAAGCTCAATAGAAAGTGTCTAAATCAAGCAAGATATACCCTCATAGGCACATTGGTGAGTAAAGTTATATTTATTCATTGTGGCACAGACTCCACAGTCTTGTGTCTGAGCAAGATTCTCTACAAATATTACAAATATGCAATCTCTAAATTGGACGACTCATAGTTAATACAATTCGCACATAAGCCGCACACGCATTGTTGCCGCATTCCACATTACGTATACGCATTTTGGCACAATGAACTGGTATCGAAAGTAGCTGACAGCGGTTGCTGCTACTTTTCACGCTTAATGCAACCCTTCATATTTGACAGTTACTATGTTGCCTTCAGGTGCGCCTTTAATCGGACCGCAATCACGCCTATAATAACTAAGACGCATTGCGTCAGCCACAATCATTAATACCCTTGGAGCTGTGGTATTTTGGCTTTAACGTTGTTGTTTCTGTTGCTGCTGCTGCTGCTGCATTTGTATGTGCGGTCAGGGCATGGCAAGTGCAGCAGTTGCTGCAATAATTGTTATCGCTGCAGCAAGCTGAAGTTATGTCTTGGCTTTAGTTTTTATGTGGCGTTCACTGCTCCAAAATGCTCAACAATTTGTTTGTGATTGTCCTTTTCGCTTTTATAGTATGTGTGATTGCCTATATATCTGCGTGTGTGGGTGTGTGCGCTCTGAGTTACTCACGCGGTCTCTGCGTTGATGGGGCAGCTATTGGAATTCGTTTTTCTGACTGATATGCGAGCAGCATGATAAGTTTGTGTGCTGTTGGTCAGTGGTATTTACCATGGTGATGGCATTGAAAACGAAATAGTTCTGAATAAGTAAAAGGATTGCAATTGCAGTTCATAAATCATGATGGATATTACGTGATTTTTGTATTTATCCAAGTCATTTTTAAACAGCCAATTCAAAATCAAAGCTCTGTTTTATTATATAATATAAATTTGCCATGCTTCTAAAGTTGGTCATTATGATAAAATTGTTTTAAATTATGCTTGCTCAGCAACAAAAATCTAGATGAAAACTCCTGAACATTCTTGTCAGCGAATTGAACGGGGTTTCCATTGTCACTTTATTACAGCCTGCTTGTGAGACATAAATGGCTTTAAAATTCTTAGTAGTGCGTCTTTCCCCAGTTAAATGCATGAAAACTGAATCTAAATCAAAAGCTACTTCATAAAGAGGCCAAGTGACCAAGTTATCTGCACCTACAACTACACCCTGCAGCAGGTCAATTGAGCCTTTCCGCCCTACTTTCTATGCTCGTCCTCAACGCGAGCTGTGGGTGCTCAGTCGCCTTTTATATATATATACATATTTATATACATATATATATATATATATTAATATGTATGTGTGACAGGACTAAATGCTGGACAACACATTTCATTGTGTGGTATGTCCCGCTGGTAGCTGGTGCCAGCCTTTATACAATATCATGCACATCCAACTCCACGCCGCCCACCATCCACAACGAACATTTTTGTTTTTGGTCATACCATTTTATTTATGATTGTGTGGGTATATGTGTGTGTGTGTGTGTGTAAATCTGTGTGTCTTTAATTTTTTTTGACCGCCCTTCTGGCGTTTTGACCATTTTTGATCTGCTGCTTGAGCTGCGGCTCGCTTTGGTTTGCAGCCGTTTTGGTTTTATTGCGCGCTTTTATTTTTGTTTTTCTTTTTTATATATATATTTACAGAGCTTATCTTTGACCACACGTATGTTGGCAGAGCAAAATTGTTTTTGAAATTGAAAAATTGCAATACAAGCTGAGCTCTGGGGTCAGCTATAGAGTCGCTGTAATACAAAATAATGCGACTATCCTGGCCTGTGCAACACTGTCCCGCGACCCCCTTTTTCTCACTCTCTCTCTTTCTCATTCTCGCAAACTCAGCTGCGGCATTTTTCTTTTAGTATTTTGCCTTGCGCTCGTTTTTCGTGGCGGCTTCCACTTTTATATTCTTTGTTTAGCATTTTCATTTTTTGGAAGCGAGCGCAGCGTTTATATTTTTATGGTAGCGTATAGTATGGCATATATAGTATATGTGAGATATGCAGTTGGTGGCTGGGTCGGGTTTTGGCCATAGAGAGGACTGTACTGAGAATGCTTTGTGCGCTGTGCTGGCACTTTCAAGGATCTGCTGCAGGTGCTCAAAAAGCTGCCGCTGCATGCCTTTCTTGCCAGGAAGTTATGCACATATTTAAATTAAGTGCACTGAAAAATATATATACGCATACATATATATATATATAAACACCTATGCAAATATATGTATATATATATACATACAGATAAAGCTAGAACCATAAATAAAAAATAGCTTCAAGCGCAACACTAAAGTGTTATTAGTCGTTTAATGGAAATAAGCACCCTCTACACAAATAAGCCTTACAATTGTTGCCAGTATTGCGTTCTACATTGTGGCTCGGCCATTTCTTGTTGTCGATTTTGGTTATGTTAAGCATTTTGTTGGTAACAAAAAAAAATAAGAGGCTAAGTGCTAGGAAGCTGATATTTTCCTTTTGTATCCAAAGTAAGCACTTAGTTTCATATACCATGATGTTTACTTATTTATTAAGAGCAGAATAAGTATGAAAGTGTTTGTTGGATGATACCGACTGCACAGTACTCTATTTTACGTGTAGGTACATGCAAGCCTTAAAGCAGCGTTTTGAAATAATATATATTTTTTCTTATGAACTTGATGCTACTGTCAGCTGCTAAAACAAATATTTTTATAATTATATACTACAAAGATATTAAAATGAAAACTAAACTTTGTAACATGGGCAAGTTGTACAGTAAGTTGCGATTTCAAATAGATTTTTTTATGACTATTAACGCTTACAAGTTGCTTAGCTTCTCGATTCGAACCAAACAAGTACCCAAAACACGGCCACAATCTCATCACCACACGAAGCGGTCGAGTTGTGCGTTCACCTGCGCAGATAGATCGGGAGCATTGCAGGAAGCAATGTATTGTAAATAAAGACGAGTGGATGCTTGACAACATGAGTTGTGGGAGTAGTCAAAAGGACCAGACGACATCTCGTTTACTCATCTATCTAGATTTAAGTGAACATGCGGCTGTTGTACACTGTGAACCAGCATCTGCAGCTATAGTTGATGAAGATGTTGAGCTGAGAAAATGTCTTGATAAGTTTCTGGGATTAACCGATGCACGTCGTCCACTATACAATCCGAAGGAATCTCTTGAGGCAACGGAACCGTCTGCGCACACTGATCAATGGCTTCCTAAAGCAGTGCAGCCACAGCCAGAGCCCGAGCCAAAGACAAGGCGTAAGCAGCTGCCACGAGTAGAGTTGATGCTATTTGAATTGCTGAAGCAGAAACTATTTGAAGAAAATGTGCTGCGCATCAATGCCAACTACTTTGAGCAGCAAACGCCGCAACAGTTCAAGGAGCCTATCGAACTGAGCGCCCTGCCTAGCGAGGCGAAACGAGCCCGTATTTGCGGCTGGCATAAGAGGCTGGTGCAACAAATCCAGGAGCAACAGATGTGCTACTATAGCTTCCTGAGCTCGCTAAATCGTGAGTAGCTTGTTAATCTGCAATCGGCATAGCTTAGATTATCTCTGTAGCGGACACGCCTCTTGCCCTTTGTCATCCCTTTGCGCTCAGCTATCGCCAGGAGAGCTTTGACAGCTGTAAAGCGCGTTTGACCAAGTCTTTATTTAGCCTGTTTAACCATGTGATTTTCTATTGTGGTCTGCGGCAGTGCATCGAGTGGCAGCAAAACAAGAAGAAACCCAGTAGCTGTGTCCTGAGCCTTGCGTCTGACAGGCAGCGTTGCGCACGCTTTCTGCTCTCGGCAAATATTCGAGAGTCCAGCATGCTTATTGAGACACTGCTACATCAGATGTGCCACGCGGCTGCCTATGTATACAATGGCGAAACTGCACATGGCCACAACACACAGAAGTGGTAAGTGCAACAGTATCATATCCTGATCCGCTGCAGCGAACATTTACGCAGGGCCTATCGCGCCAAGTCCTTGCTGCCGCAGCTGCCTCTGCTAGCTGACTGCGCAGCTAGCTACAAGTACAGCTGCGTCCTGTGCCGCCGCAGCTCCTATGGCAACATTCGGTTTCAGGGCAAGTTAAAGCAGCTGTGCTGCTACCACTGCCAATTCGAGCTGGCCGTGAGTGCCTGTAGCGCTGACAGTACACACGAGCTGCCGCTTAGCGAACAGCAGGAGACGTCCTACATGATCTTTATACGCGCCCACTACTTGAAGTGTGAACAGACCGGGCACAGCTCCAAGATGCGCGCACTCAATGCCGAGTACTTCCAACTGTATAAACTGTAAAGGACATGGCCTAAACGATTTTCATAATCCCATATTTTTTATTTATTTATTTTATTTTTTTTAAGAGCATGTGTATTAAAAATTGACGTTTTTAAATTTATCTGGCTTGGCTAAAAATTCATTTCGCAATTATCAGCGGAAAATAACTCAATTCGTATTAAATATTCTTTCAATCAACTTATTCGCAAAATTCTCTTGTTTAAGTTAGATTAAGTTTATACTCCCACGAAGATTGAAAAAAAATGTGACAAGCCGGACTGAACTTATGTTGATGAGCAAAACGAATTTAACGAATTTTTTATATTTTTGGCTTTGCCCTAAATGCGTATTTTCATAAATGTGTTAGTATTGGGCAAGTTATTTTCAGGCAAATGTCAACGGAAAATTTTAGTTCAAATATAATTGACTATTACCAGTTCAGCGCAAAATTAATTAAATTTTTAAAACAGAAATTTACGTAAAACTCGTTTTTGTAATCGTCCAAATTGTAATGCTTCATGATTTAAAGTCGCTCTAATCGCATCACGTACCACCACATACCCATATACACACACGTAAATACACGTACACACACACACACGCACACATATAGAGATTTGTATGCAGCGAATTCATAGCCTCCTCATCTCCCTTATCAAATATATACCAAATATAGGAAGCCACACGCATTTCGGCTTTAGTGTAAACACGAATATTCACAGCATAAATTTTGGGTAGGGGGTAAAAACGAGGGAAATCAATTCAATAAATGAACGCAAACGCTGACAATTTGTTGATGGTTTTTCGGGTGTGCCGACCATAGCTTAAAATTAATTTCCAATGTTATGTCAATGCTTTTATGCCTGAACCAAATGTATCTGTAATTTGATGTGTGTGTGTGCGTGTAAATTAAAATAATTTAAATTACGACTGCGCAAAAAATCGCGAATTGCAACATCGCGACATGCAACGTGAAACGCCCATAATTATGCAATGATTATTCGATGCGCACATCCGCCAGGTTTGAGGAGCGACCTGAATTCGCATTATTTTCTAAGCCCCGACATTTTAGCAAATTGTAACACTGCCTGTGCGTGTGCATGTGTTTACGTGTGTGTGTGTGTGTGTGTGTGTGTGTGTGTGTCCGAGATAACCATTGACATGTCAAAGGCGACAAAGCATAACGAAATTAATTGTGCGCATTAAAAGGGATTGTGCAAACATTAAAAGGGATTGCACACACAAAAAAAAAAAATGTAACTGCCACACACAAACCAAATGTGATAATAAGCGTTTCTATTTTAGACTGATTTTAAGCCCCTTTTTTGTATTTTGGATCTCTGGATTTGTAATATTATTAAATATGTAGTTAGCAACTTAAGTAATTAATTCAGTTGGTTTTAAATATTAGATTTAAATGTCACAATCTGTTTTATCAACATATTCGATGCTAGCATTTTTATTCTGCAAATCTAATGTTAGTGCCTAGAAGCATATAATGGACTTCAGGGGAATCTTGATACTCTCGCAGCTTTGTGCTCATGATGGAATTTGTATGTTTACCCACTCAAATCAATAAACCCATGTTTCACTCTCTAAAAGCGAATGCATACCCATATCCAATCCAGAGTTACCTTGGCGCCGCCACAAGTTAAATATCTTGGCATCACCTTGGACAAGGGTCTTAGCTTTGGGCCACACCTCAAAGCTACGGTAAAAAATGTCGTCAAAGTCCGCGGTGGCTCAACAATAAAAGGAGGACCTTGCCGCTGAGATGCAAAAGAGCTAATATGGCTTTATAGAGTGCAGATTTTGGGATAGCAGAATCAGGTACTATGACAGATAACCAACTCTCCTTGATAGGTACGTGGTTCTACACTCCATAAAGACCTCAAAGTGCATATAGTTAATGAACAGATTGGAAGGCACTCAAGCAGATACAGCGAAGGATTTCTGAGACACCACAGCCCGCTCGAAAGAGGACTACTCCCTGCTTGGGCTTCAGTATGGGGCTCGGCTCTAAATTACATTTTTTCATCCATGTGTTGTTAAGGTACTAAATTATGATTGTGCAGGTTCTATTCTTAATAATATTATCAAAAAAAACCTAATGTTAAATATATTGACATGGTACCATGTTTTCAGTAGACAACAAGGTTCCCACCTTGCAGACAATAAACTTTCAGTTTGATGAAATAAATGCTTTAAAGTAACAAGTCATCACATTTAATTCTACTTCAGTCCAATAATTTTATATTGACATTGTTTTTGACTTTCTTGTTAAGTCCTTGTTAAAGTTACCAGACAAAAATTCAGTTCAATTATTGATAGTGACTCTAAACCTTTACATCACAATTTATAAGCCAGCTTCACTGTATTCGCTTCCGTAAGTGGTAGACCTGACAACAAGCTCTCACGACTCGTTGATTCCTTGAACATTTGTAATTGTATCTTTCTCTATGGCGGTGAGTTGAGTATCGATTTCGGAAGCTGCCTAAACATCAGTTATCATTCATAGTCAAAAATGGATTATCTTTACATTAACTCTGTTGAAACATAAAGGATTGTAAATGATATTCAACAAGGGTGCACAGTTATTGCTCGAATAGCATAATTGCATGCTGCATTCGCCTGCGGCTACGCAACAGTTGCTTTTGTTCAAACAACAGTGAGGCGATGTGAAAAGGATGCGCCCAGCCGTGGCATATCATGGCCATCGGGAAGGACATAGAGTGCCAACTATAAATGTGAATGGCAGTTGAAACAATGTAAACGTCGGCATTGCAAGACAGCGGCCTGTGGCATAGCCTGCGCTATCCTGGCTTGTGCCCGGCAGGACGCCTTCTGCTGCGTGGTCTGACAATTGGGGCGTGGCCGCCAATTAACGCATTGCAATGCTTCCACTTGCAGTATAATGTGCGCTCACGTCTCAGTATCTCTCTGTGTGCGTTTGTGTGTGCGCATACTATCTGCATTTCTGTGTGCATGTCTCTCTGTATATGCGTGTGTAGACGCCACGCATTGTGTTTTCACAAGAGAATGCAATTTAAATTGCGTTAAAATTGATTGAATTCATGGAACGCAGCTACCACGCATCCTGTCAATGTGTACGCGTGTGTGCTAGCATTATGTGACTGTATGTGTGCCTGTGCGTGAGACGCATGTGCCCATGCGTGGTGCATGTTTGTTTTGTACACCGTTAAGTGGGCAAGCGGTTTTAAAAGGTTGCCCATGCACGTGAGCACACTTCACTTATGTGATGCTAACGAAAAAACCTGAAAGTGGAACCTATTAAAAGTAGCTGCATTCAATTTTGATTATAGGTATCTAGCAACACATTATGTATAATGTATCTTTCATAATGCAAAAAAGATTTGGGTTTCCCAAGCAAATGATTTATATTGCTTACTAGAAGAATGACTTAAACAGAATGATTCAAGTCAATTCTAATTACTGCACGTAGCTCTTAAATTTCCAATATTTTGCTTTCAGGCCTAATGACATTATGGTCATGGTTTATCCTTTGATTCGATCATCAACATAACAAAAGTGAATATTATATGTTAAACTAAATGATCTTACTTGCGGGTAGATTAAATTTATCATTTAACGACATTCTTTGTTTCTTTAATATATATGCATATATCCTTGTTCAATAAGGGCATTCAAATCGATGTTGCAACTTTGTAGCTTTTCGTATATTTGACTATTTTTATTTCTGTCCATTTGTAATAGCAACAGATTTGAAATATTCAAGTCAGAAATTCGCTATTTTTCTTTTATTTAAAATGCTTCTCACGTAGAGAAGGAAACAACAATCTTAGGCCAAAGCTGATGGGTGCATGCCGATCGCAGCATGCGACAATTAAATGAACGCAGCTTAAATACATAACTCTTTATATAAAACTGTTTGTCCTGACTGAATGGCTGACTGACTGACAGACTGATTGGTGATCAAGGTACAGCCTAAACTGTAAGAGCTAAGAAGATGAAATTTTCATTGTAGTCATCTTATGTAATGTGGGTGCACTTTAAGACGGGGTTTCAGGAAATTCTTCCCGCAAGTGTAAAAAAAATAAGCGAAAAACGTTTGTATGCAATTTTTTTGTTTACCATCCGATCGCCATTAAACTAATTTTTAAAGATCTTAGTTCAAATTCATTTGAGGGGTGCTTCGCTCTTTTTGGAAAATCCATCCCTCCTACGGAGAAAGGGGTTTCAAATATTTGGTGGGTGACCTTTCGCCCATTTTATTTTCATTTCCAAAGATCTATATGAAAAATCATTTCAGATGTGTTTCTCACACAGAATTCAGAATCTTCGGAAGAAATGGGATTCAATGATTTTTTGGGCGATGCGAAATATGTGTGTCAGCAAAATCGCTGATCCCATATGGGAAATTTCGCCAGTAGCAAAATTGGCGGAAAATGTTTGTATGTTTGTATCCGTGCCCGCTAGTATATATATGTATAAATATATACTTGACTATATATATAAGTATATACATGTACATATTTATATATATATATATATATATATATATATGCAATACTTTCATGCAATTACTCTCAGAGTACAAAATTGCACGGCTGATAAAATCGAAAATAAAAAAATCAATTGCAATGCATATTAACGGCTCTCTCATAAATTTGCTACTCTAGTAATATAATTTTTTTACCACAACAAAAGCTGCAATTAATTTGCAGGCGTTTGGTTGGATTACAGGTTGATTGGCAAAGGGGTTAATCGGCCAAATGGTTGGAGAGGAGGAGGGGGTCGTTGTCAGCTGTAGAGCCAATAAGCATAAAGCATTTATTTGCTGCTATTCGTTGTGGGTTTTTGATTTTGCTGCTGCAGCGCGACAATTAATGCGCATTAATGAATTATTAATTTGTATGTGGGATTGCATCGGCGCCCGAAAGTATGCAATTAAATTCTATTTGTTAATTTATGGCTCCGCCAAATATGCATTGATTATGCAAATGGAATTGGTCCTGATGACATCGATTGCCGCGTCTGTCCGGTAAATTCGCCATTCCGCAGATCGGCATCGGTCTTAACCAGGCCTTAATCAGCTCATACTTACACGTGAACACTCCTGTATCTGTGT